AAAAAAAAGAAAGAAAACAAGAAGACACTTAAATAAGGTGCAACCCCAGACTTCCAGTTCACCAAAGGCAAACTCAGGGGGCAGTAACGTGGGACACTGCTAAAGCTACCCACCTGAACTCTAAAGTGATAAGAACAAAGCAGATGAACAAGGCTCTAGAAGAATCAAATCAGAAATAATTTCTCAGAAAAGTACAGTGATGGTGACTATAATGAAAGACATGCTCAGTGACTCTAGAGCAGATACAGATAAAAAAATGTTAGAGGAGCTTAAGAAAAAGATGGAAACTATAAATGCCCAATATAAGAAAAAAATGAAATCTATAAAACAGATTCAGCAGGATATCCAGGAGTAGAAATTCCACTGAAAGTATCCGCAGTAGAATACACCAATGTGAGGACAGAATATCAGATATAGAATACAGGCTTGTGGTTAGTGATCAGGAAAAGAAAGATTTCTTAAAAATAGCAAGGACCCACAAGAAATGAATCCAGCAGATGCTAGATGATGCAAAGAAGAATAACATAAGATTGATTGGAGTCCATGAAAAAGCAGGAGATAGAATGAATGATATAAAAAACCTGTTCACAGACATCATGGCAGAAAACTTCCTTGGTAGGAAAAAAGAATGTGACATACAGGTAAGTAAGACATATACAATTAGCCATGATAACAAAAATCTACAGCAAAGCATACAAATAGTCAAGCTTGCAGAAATTTAACACAAGAACATAATATTAAAAGCTGTGAAGACAGAAGAAACAAATCACCTATAAAGGAAAGCCCATTAGAATTACAGCTGACTTCTCAATATAAATCCTCAAGTTAAGGAGAGCTTGGACTGAAGTATTTCATGCCCTAAAAGAAAACAACCTCCAACCCAAATTGATGTACCCCACAAAACTATCTTTCAAAATTGATGGAGAAATAAAATAACTCCATGACAAAGAACACCTGAGGAAACTCATGAACACCAAACCAGCACTCTAAAATATTCTGAAGGACATTGTAGAAAGAGATAACACAACTCCATGAACACCAACAGAATGAATCCATTAGCAAGGGAAACAATTAAACAGAGGTGGAAAAAAGGGAGCCAACAACAGGAAAGTAACATGAAGGATAAATCAATACATATCAATTATAACTATCAATTTTAATGGTCTCAATTCACCAATCAAACACACTGGCAGAATGCATCAAGAAGCAAGATCCAACAATATGCTGCATACAAGAACACATTTAATTCCAAAAGAAATTCATAGACTGAAAGTCAAAGGATGGAAAACAATATTACATGTAACAGGAACCTAGAAAAAAGCAGGGATAGCTATTCTATTTGCTGACAAAGTGGATTTCAAGCCAAGACTGATTAAGAGACACAAACAAAGTCACTACATCCTT